GGTTGTTGGAAGAAATCGGCAGGGCAGAGAACCAGTTCTTAAATTATTTTGAATCCCACCACTGGGTGGGGCTAGTGGTGGGATTTGCTGGTTCACCGGCTATAAAAACTAGCACGAGGGCAAACCTGTAGTAGCCCATCCCTCACCATGGCTAAATTGTGTCATTAAACTGCATTTGTGCAACGGTGACTGTAAGTAACTGTAAAGGCAAAGATGCTGAAGGCAAGATAGTTTTCCAGGAAAAGAGGATTGATAAACAAGTCTTCCTCGTACAAGGGGGAAGCTTTGGCACAATAAATATCCGTCTAGAATAGTCTGTTAATTCTTCTGAGAAGACACCCAGAGGCATGTCCCCGGTATCCAGAATAACGCAGACAACAATACCAGCCCAAACCTGCTGAGATGTACAAAATTGCTGAGCAAGAACGAACGTCGAGTGAATCACACCTTCGCAGCCTGTGGCCATTTAATGCTCACCCTTAACATTGCTTGTAAATCCAGCCTCCTCATGGAACAAGGTTGAGCAGCCACAAAAAGGCGAACCCAGAGACAAGAGGCATAAGAAGCAACAGTGCAACTTGACAACAAGCAAAGACATGATGTGATTGATAAACTGTGGTTTAATGGAGGCAAGATCAGTTTGAGAACCTGCGCTCAATTCTATTGGCTTTCTTCCCCGAGTTGATTTATCATTTCTCTTCTCTATAAAAGTGAAAGACCCCCCACGCATCATCACAAAATCTCCAAAACCATAAAGCCTACAAACTTGACATTTGGCACGTATGTTCCTCTTGGTTTCTAGGTGCTCACTAAGAAAGGATTTTTTCCAAATGACCATCAGAGCATTTAGAGTATTTCCTATATTATTATTACTATTAACACGCTCTGATGCTAAGGAGTTCTACTCCCCCTCCCCACCTGAAAAGAAATCTGTTCCAAACGCAAAACACAAGCAGAGGAGTTTCAGTTTTACAGCAGCAAGCAGCTTTAGTACAGAACAGTTGAGCTAAGCCACGCCCAGGCTCCTTGCTGTCTCCTTCTTGCTCACACAGCAAATACTCTTTCAGTTTCCAGGTTTCAGATTCCAAACAGCCCTCAACTCTCTCACACACTGACAGGATGCTAGCCAGAGGAATACCGATGGATGCTGGCAGGCAGAGACAGAATTCCCCCCCCATTTTCCTCCCCCAAAACAAAGTCTGACAAAGTTTCATAGCGAAGCACAGATATCGAGATAGTTTATTGATAAGCCTGCCAGCTTGTCTTTCTTCCAAGACTTCAATGGGAATCTCCCTCTATTTTTATCCCCACTGCAGCAACTTGATGAGGTAGGTTTGGACATACAGAGAATATATAGCTTAAAATCATTTCCATGGCTGAGGCTGAGCACAGACTAAAACATGGTTCCCTGCTCCTATTCCTGCTCCTTAACCACTAGACTAGACTAGTCTGGAGCTCAGAAACAGGGATTGGCTCAAAGTCACACAGAAACTTCCATGGCTGAGCATACTGCTACTGAGGCTCTCCTAAATCCTAGTCCAACACCTTAATTCTTCTAACCGCCCTGGACGTCAAATGCAATGTGACAATAATTAGTCAATTATATCCACAAGGTCTTGACGTCCCAATTGTGAAAATATCTACAGACCCCTCACATCCCGGACATAAACTGTTTCAGCGCCTTCCCTCAAAATGACAGGATAGACCCCTGCACACCAGAACAACTAGACAGAAGGACAGTTTTTCCCGAATGCTAAACAAATAATTCCCTCAACACTGTCCAACTATTTATAAAGTCCGCATTACTATTACTATTAATCTTCTCATAACTCCTTATCACCCATCCCCTCCCACTTGTGACTGTATGACTGTAACTTTGTCTCTTGTATCCTCACAATTTATATGGACTGTTTCCTAGTATGATTTGATTGCTTATTGGACCGTATGACTATCATTAAGTGTTGTTCCTGATGATTCTTGACTCTTGACGAATGTCTCTTTTCTTTTATGTACACTGAGAGCATTTGCACCAAGACAAATTCCTTGTGTGTCCAATCACACTTGGCCAATAAAGAATTCTATTCTATTCTTCATTCCAATATTCTATTCTATTCTAATTCCTATTCCTATTCTATTCTATTGTTAAATGTCTGAATTTTGATTAGATGACCATGAGAATGTTGCAACACTTGTCATGGTGAAAAACGGTCATAAGTCACCTTTTCCCCAATGCCTTTGTAACGTTGAATGGCCCCTAAGTGAACAATTGCAACTCGGGGACTACCTGTAACGAACTACAAAGAGATAACTGACAGTGAGAACAGTCAACCCATGGAACAGAAGTTGCCTTCAGAAGTTGTGGGAGCTTCATCACTGGAGGCTTTCAAGAAGAATCTGGACTGCCATTTGTCAGAAATGGTGGGTGGGTGGGATTGGACTAGATGACCTTGTAGCAGGAGACCCTACACAATTTCCCTTCCAACTCTGTTAATCTGTGCCTCTAACTCACGGCCTCTGCATTCAGAATATTAGATGGTTTACATTTTGCAAAGAGTGGAAGGGTTTGATAACAGACGGGGAGAAGGCTAGCAGATGGAAAGTAACAGGCGGAAACAAAACTATAGCTTTTATTAAGTTCTCAGGGAAAGGGTTAACATTGTACATATAAGATTACTGACATTCAAGCTCTGGAGGTTTATTTTCTAGAGAACAATCCTTTATTGACTCTGGGGAGGGAAAGGGTTACCACAGCAGGAAATGCCAGATATGTTTATGATCCTTCCTTTCCACTGGGATTCTACATATAATCTCTCTGCTCATTCATCAAATTTTGTTCTGTGGAATTAGGTAATTTGGCTGAAAAGCTGTGAACTTCATTTGGTTCAGGGTGGGAAATAGTAGTTGAGAGTCAGGGGAAGATACGATCTTTTCCATTTTGGGTTGGGTTTTTTTTTTTTTTACTGTACTGTTATTAGCAGAAAAATGGGGCAAGGAGGAAGAACACGGGACTTCTTAAAGCAGTGGTCCCCAACTTATCTGGCTTTGTGGGCTGGTGGGGGATGAGAGATGGCTCTGCAGAAGAGGCAGGCATGTGCACCCATCACTCCCATGCTCCTCGTGCAAATGGAGCGGTGCGTGCATTCATGTGCTCACCATCACTTCCGTAGCCCAGTTTTGAATGGGCCACGGCCTTGTGGATGTGTCCCAGGGGTTGTCGGAAAGGGTTGATACACTCCCTCAGATGAAAATATAATTCAGAATATACTGGACTGTTCAGAGATGGATAGATTGACATTGACAGGATATTATTTAACATGGAATAGTGTCATGCCCCCCGTTGGAGTCAATCTGAGAAGGCAAATGAACAGCTGACAGGGAGTGGGAGTGTGGCTCCATTGGCTGTGGAAGAAACTGGGGAAGGGCAAAGACCGGCTGGGCAGAGCAGGGGAGAGATAGAACAAGGGAGAGGGAGTTCAGAGGAAGACTCAGGCCCACCCCCTCTTTATCTTAGGGCACACAAGGAGAAATGGAGAAGAGAACAATGTGGGTTGCGTGGCTTACAGGGGAGGAAAGGGCCCTGATGCCCTTCATTAGCCACAGCTGGGAAGAGAGTTTAAAAGAGATGCAAGCTGAGAGTGACGGCTTCTGGGAACAAACGTGACTTTATCTTGTGTTGACTTTGGTTATCTGTGTTCCCGGTATCCTCCCAACTGGGTTGAATTACTGCCGTTCCTTCACATCTGGAATTCCTTCTCTTGTCCTGCTAGACTAATTACTTCATCTTGCCTCGATTGGACTTTAGTTACAGTTTTTGTTGACCATGTTTTGGACTTGATTCTGATGATGCTAATATAATTAATAGGATTACAAATAAGCCAACATAATTATAAATATGGTTAGAATCATTCTGTTGTACTACTATTATTGCTATCAAAATATATGTCCTTGTGTCTAGTTGTTCTAGTATATCAAAATATGTTATTATTCCCCTGCCCTTTGGAAAATGGTATGCTCAGACAATACACTGTATTCGAAATGTTTATATATAAATAAAAAAAAATTTGACTCAAAAATAAATATATGAAAGGGTCGATACCTAGAAAGCCATAGAGGTGTTCCCACTTACGATGAAGAAAGGTATTGATCGGGAAAGGTATTGATCGGGAAAGGCAACTTTCCCTCTTTCCTTCCTTCCTTCCTTCCTTCCTTCCTTCCTTCCTTCCTTCCTTCCCTCCCTCCTTCCTTATTCCTTCTCTTCTTCTTCTCCCCTTCCTTCCTTCCCTCTTTCCTTTCCTTTCCCTTCTCCTTTCTTCCTTCTCCTTCCTTCCTTCCCCACCTTTAATATTTCTACAAATAATTCAACATATCTAACCCACCTTCCTCCTCCTATTTTCCTCCCAACAACTCTTATGAGGTGAGTTGGGCTGAGAGGGAAGGACTGGACCAAAGTCACCAGCAGGCTTTCAAGGCAAAGGCAGTACTAGAACTCACTCTCTCCCACTTTCTAGCCTGGTGCCACTAGACCAAACTGGCTCTAGACTTCCCAGATCTAGAGATAGATAGATAGATAGATAGATAGATAGATAGATAGATAGATAGATAGA